ATTGGCCTAAAACTCGTTAAAATGTCACTTAGAAAGCCCGTTAAAGTAGAAAAAAAAATCACCAATGATGAAAGAATTAAAAAAAATTAATAAATGTTTTATAGTTGTATATATGGTCTTGGAAAATATTTTAAATCAAGCAACTTGAAAATTATTTAAAACAAAAAGTTAGCATGTTCTTTTCAAAACTTTTAAATTAAATTTCTAAGTTTGGCTTGGTTTTGTATTGCTACAATGAGAAGATTTTCTTAAAAATATACCTTAGAGTTATATATAAAAATGTTTTCTTGAGTGATAACTGGCTCCAATTAGATTATCTAAAAGTTATCAAGTGAATTTAGTTATTTACTGACTTCTTTAATTTGGCAAGTTGACCGAATTTTGTGGGTATATTCACTGCAAACCCTCACGAGACTACAACTCGTCCACTAGGGTAACCTAGGGGTTTAAAGGCTTGTTGTATGCGCTAAATACAACCGCAATTCCTACGAAAGTGAGTTAGGATTTTCTTTTTATTTTCTTTGCTAGAGGACTAGCAAAAGTTCAGGTGTGGGGGTATTTGATAATCATATTTTTATAATAATTTTATACCCTCATTATCTATTTTACATGAATAAATATATCATTAATAATTGTTGTTAGATTAGTTTACACATAATTGAATGAAAATACAAATAAATATTATTAAATGTAAAAACCCCTCAAAATCTCTCTTCTCTATTTTGTAGCATTTTAGAAGCCCATGAAGCAAAAGCTTAAAAGAGGAAAAGAATTTGAAAGCCCAAAGTCCATCAAAAATTTGATTACAACCATGCATTGGACCGAATTTAGCTTGAAGGCCCAAAGATGAACTCAAAGAATGTGGACCGGACCTGCTTGTTGGCTGCTGGAGATGTGGATTTGAAAAAATCATTGGTTGCTGCAGATAAATGAATTGGACTTGATTTAATTTGCTGCATAGATGTGGATTTGAAAAAATCATTGGTTGCTGCAGATAAATGAATTGGACTTGATTTAATTTGCTGCATTAATCATGTGAATGGGCCACAGCTTTCATTCTCTATTTTGAAAAACCAAAGGCAAACATCAATGGGCCGAAAACCAATGAGCTCAAGACCGGACTTGAATTTTAACTTTGAAAATCAGTGTTTGAATGGGCCGGGATTTAATGTTGAAATGCAGTGGACTTGTTTGCTACAGAATTGGATCAATCAAGACCGGACTTGATTGTAAAGACTTGGTTTTTAATTTTGAATCTCATATGGGCCGGACCTGCTGCTGCAATTGGATTTTGATTTTCTTTTGAAAATCAAATGAATCATATGGGCCTCCTATGTTGGGCTAGAGAAGAACAAAAAGCAAATTCAAAGGTGGATTGGATTTTTATTTTCTTTTGAAAATCAAATAAATCATATGGGCCTCCTAATGTTGGGCGAGAGAAGAACAAAAAGCAAATTCAAATGTGGAGATTGCTTTGCTTGGGGCTCAAGACAAATCCAATGGCTCATATTCATTGAAGATTACTATAAATAGGGGTAGAGAGTGAGGGGTTAGGGGTGTAAAAATTTTTGTAATTCCTTTTGGAGATGAGGGCTACTCTTAATTGAAAAGGCCTTCCAAATTTATAACTTTTTGTTACAATTAATAATAATAATTTTTTCACCACTTTAAATATTTCTTCTCTTTGTTGGATGATGAAGATGGAGATGAAGAATTATTTAGAGGTTTTCATTTCTTTCTTTTTTTTCTCTTTCATTTCTCTTTTATTGCTTATTAGTTAGATTTATTTTTATGCTTGTAATTAGATTTTATTTTCTTGTTTAAATAGACAAGAGGCTAGAACCCTCTTGCCTTAGATTTATTTTATGCTCAGATTAGATTTATTTCATGCTTATATAGTAGATTTATTTTCTTGTATTTTTGCAATTTATTTTATAGTTTAGATTTTGCAATTTATTTTGTAGTTAGATTTTAATTTCTTGCACTATTCACCTTGAGGCTAGAACCCTCTTGGGTTTAGTTTTTTTTTTGTTTATTTTCACTTTCTTTGATTCGCCTTTAGGCTAGAACCCTCTAGGGAATCACCTTTTTCTAAAAAGTGGATTCAATTCTAGATTACCCGTATCTTTAATTGAATCTTCTATCTTTACATTCTTGATTTTTTATTTGTTTCTTGATTTTATTCATTCTTCCTTCTTGCCTTGTTGATCACATTTATTTTTTACTCACATCCACTCTCAAAAACATTGATTTACACACTATCACGTTCACTCTCATTATCTCTCCACAATCACATTCACTCATCACTCCTATTTGTCACGCACACAACATAAGAACCGATTTTATATTTTCTCCTACAAAACACCTTCCTCGTGGATCGATATCTTTATACTATAACTTGACACGGTTGTGCACTTGCAACATTTTTGGTACATAATTATGCCGCATCAATGAAATACAACAAGATATGTGAGCTAGGAAAAGTGATATCCACAAGGACAAACAAAATAAACAAGATAGTGGATGATATAAATAATGAGCAATGGACAATGGCCATAAAAAATATAAACACAAGAGTAAGTGCGCCAATGCAAACTCAAACACACGACATGTTCATGGAGTTCAGTCAACCACTTGAGCTACGTCTCCGCTCCTCACCTCGAAGAGATCTCCACTATCACAACTGGGTTTTCTACTCTCACCCGAATAACGTTTACACCACACAATACGGTTTTCTAGCTAACCAAAAACTCTACAATCTCACACTCTTGTAATCACACTTTAAACCCTCTAAGTGTTGGTCTCTAGCCCGTGTCTCTCTTAAGTGTTAGGCATTACCACCTACCTCTAGGCATTACCACCTACCCCATTCCTCTTGGGACGACTCCGTCTCTCACCACACACTCCTCTCGGTGTACAAGTGTATTACAAAGTATATCTCACAATAAAGCTCTCAATACTACAAATTTGTTCTCTACTATAGATGAGAACTCAATGTAGGTTCACTATCTAAGTCACATAATCCCACAACCCAATTATACAATGTATGCAAATATAATAAGCTCAATGGTTATGTGTGTAAACAAAGAGAAATAAAATCAAACTCAATTAAAGTCTAGCAAATATAAATATGATAATGTAAATGTAAACAAGTTAGATAATTGAGTTGAGAAAACTTCTCTAGAACAAGAGAGATGTAGATGTGAAGTGGAAAGCTCAAACCAAAGATGATCTCCTCTTCTTGTGAAACAATCTTCACAAACTTCTCAAACCAAAGATGATCTCCTCTTCTTGTGAAACAATCTTCACAAACTTAAAACTTTTAACCCACACTTAAACAAAACTTAAACTCTTGTAAAAACTTGTTTAAAACATCCCTTGGTAGCAGAAAATAGTTATGGCAAAGGAGTATATATAAGGTAGAAGAAAACAACCCAAAAAACCCAAAAAACCCTAAAAACCCACCAAAAAACAAAAATCAGCAAGTTACCGTTACTGTGCAATGGTAACATTGGCGGTCGACCGTGACGGTCGACCGTAAGAAGCAAAACTACTCTCTGGATTGCAGACGGTTGTCCATGAAGGTCAACTGCACTGTAGCACGGTCGACTGTAGCGGTCGACCGTGAAAACTCTGAAATCTGGAAATTTGTGTATTTGGCTTTGTAAAATTAATTAAAAATTGTAAATCAACTCTAAAAATACTAAAATTTTGAGAAAGGTTTATAAACAAATACATGAACATTTTAGAGAAAGAATTTATGAAATATCCCATTTGTAAGAAATAATTGTTTTAGCATAGATATACAGTTTCTAAAAAACTACTGAAAACTCGTTTTTGTAAATTCAATTGAAAATAACAAAACAACTCCAAAATTAGTAAGACTTAGGAAAATATTTGTATATATGAATATAAATATGTAAATGAACAAAATTTTCAAATTGCATTTCCTAATTGTGAAAACTCATCTGTTTTGCAAAAACATCCACGAACATGTGCACGAGACATGAACTTATTTAAAACTTGATTTTGTAAATTCAATTAAATAAGACAAATTAATTACAAAATTAATAAAACTTTGGAAAATATTTATAAACATGAAATTGAACATGTTAGAAAAAGAATTTCTCAAATTGAGTTTCCCATTTGTGAAAATTCATGTATTTTGCAAAACTTGTAAATACATGTGTACATAAACTTCTTGATTTTTGACTATTGAGTTAAAAAATGTTTTGAAACCTTATCAAATAATTTTATAGACCTAATAAAAAATATATATAATGGTTGTTAAGTCCAAAAACCAATAACTCAATATTTTATCAAAATTACTCGAAATCAAGAATTGTGTGTATGTGTGATATAGAGCTCAAAGTATTAACACACAAGTATAAACCCTAAACTAATTTACCCAAGCTATCTTGCTCTTCAATTAAGCTCGTCTTGGTAAACTTGCGGATGAAGCTTGAACTTGGATTTTTAACATGAATTGCAAGGTTTCACTCCACTATTCCGCCAACCTCCATTAGATTTGATCGTGAATGCTCGATTCCATCCATCCTCCAACTTGTTGTTTATCTACAATAAATAGAAAACTATAAATACTAGACAAACAGCTAAGAAAGGTGTAGTACCAACGATAACAACAGCAAAGAAGGCTACACCACCGAACTCATATGCCAAACCCGATCTAATCAAGTGCTACAGATGTGGTCAACTTGGTCATATATCCAATCAGCGCCATAAAAGAAGTGTTGTGAATATGGTAGATCATGAAGAGGAGGATATAGACCAAGATGATACCGAAGACTATAGAGGTGATGGGGGTGGATCCTAATGATAGGGATCAACTCTCGTGTGTTGTGTGATAACTATTATTGGCTCTAAAGATAGAAGAACCACCATAGAGGCATAATATCTTCCGCACTAAGTGCACAGTGAAACAAAAGACTTGTGATGTTATCATTGATAATGGTAGTAGCGAGAATATTATCTCTCTATGGATGGTGGAGAAATTAGGTATGAAGTCTGAGAAATATCTCACTCCCTACAAGATCGGTTGGATTCTTAAGAGTAATGATGTGCAGGTTGAAAAGGTGTGTCGGGTGTCTTTTTCCATTTGTCGAAATTATGTTGATGAGGCATTCTGTGATGTAATTGAGATGGATGCTTGTCATATGTTGTTAGGCAGGCCAGGTAGTTTAATGTTGATGCCACGCATAGGGGGAAGGACAATTGTTTATATCTTTAAGATGGATGGTCGCCGAGTTGTGCTCATACCTCTTACAGAGAAGGGCCCAATCAAAATAGATGTTGCTGAAAAGAAGACCTTTTTAGTCATTGACAATGAAGATTTTTTAAAAGATTTGAAATTGTCTAACGAGATTTATGCTCTTGTTATATCAGGAAACAAGGATTTTTCCTCCACCAAAATTCCACCTGAAGTACAGACCTTCTTGCAACAATTTGACACAGTTATGCCTGACGAACTCCCTTCCGAATTACTAATGCTTCGAGACGTTCAACATCAGATTGATTTCATACCTGGATCACACTTACCAAACCTGCCACACTATCGGATGAGTCCAAGAAAAGGGGAGATCTTGCAGAAAAAAGTGGACGAGCTCATCTAGAAAGACCTTATTCGATCTAGCATGAGTCTGTGTGTCATGCCGGCATTACTTGTCCCAAAGAAGAATGGAGAGTGGCGCATGTGTGTAAATAGTAGGGCTATCAATAAGATTACCGTGAAATATTGATTTCCTATCCCTCACCTAGAAGACATGCTAGATATGTTATTTGGATCAAAAGTTTTCTTCAAAATTGATCTCAGGAGTGGTTATCATCAGATTTGAATTAGAGAAGAAGATGAGTGGAAGACTACCTTCAAGACAAAAGATGGCCTGTATAAATGGTTGGTCATGCCTTTTGGCCTTTCCAATGCTCCTAGTACTTTCATGTGGTTGATAAATCAAGTATTAAAACTCTTTATCAGCAAGTTCGTTGTAGTTTATTTTGATGATATCCTGATTTATAGGCAGAATGAGTCTGTGCATCTGGACTACTTGAGGGAGGTACTAACAGCTTTACAGGAGAACAAGTTGTACATCAATCTAAAGAAGTACAACTTCATGACCGGTAGCCTATTATTCTTAGGCTTTATCGTCAGTGCAGAGGGCATCCATGTTGATGAAGAAAATATGCGTGCTATTTGAGATTGGCCTCGCCGAAGACTATCAGTGAAGTTCGTAGCTTTCATGATCTAGCGACTTTCTATAAGAGATTTGTTAGAAATTTTAGCAGCAATATGGCGCCTATCACTAAGTGCATGAAGAAAGGAAAGTTTAACTGGGGGAAGATATGAACCTTTGCTTTGCTCTAATCAAGAAGAAGTTATCCACAGCACTAGTGCTTGCCCTTTTAGATTTTTAAAAGGTATTTGAAGTTGATTGTGATGCGTCCATCATAGGAATTAGTGGCGTTCTATTCCAAAGAGGGTGTCAAGTTACTATCTATAGTGAGAAACTCTGCGAAGCACGATAGAAGTGGACCACATATGAGCTAGAGTTGTATGTTATAGTTCAGTCTTTGAAGCATTGGGAGCACTATTCGTTCGTACGAGAGTTTCTACTTAATACTGACAATCAGACTTTGAAGTCCATCAATAGTCAGACTACTATCAATCACATGCATGCTCGTTGGATCATGTTTCTGTAGCATTTCATTTTTGTTTTGAAGCACAAGTCTAGACAGCAGGATAAGGTTGCATATGCACTCAGTTTGAGAGCTGGTCTCTTGGTGACTTTGTAGACAGAAGTGACTAGATTTGAATACCTAAAGGAGCTCTATGCAGAAGACGAAGACTTTAAGGAGATTTAGAATGATTGCTAATAAAATTAGTTAGTTTGAGGTTTTCATATTCAGGATGGTTATTTATTTCATGAAGATCAGTTATGCATACCCCAGAGTTCACTAAGTGAGCAGATAATACGAGACCTTCATGCTGGTAGGCTAGGAGGATATTTGGGGCATGATAAGACGATTGCTTATATTGAAGAGAGGTATTACTAGCCTCAGCTGAAGAAGGAAACAGAAAAATATGTGTGGTGCTCTCCAGTTTGCCAAGTTGCTAAGGGACATTCCCAAAATACGGGATTGTATACACTCTTACATGTTCCTAATATGTCATGCCATGATATTGAGATGGATTTTGTGTTGGAATTCCCTAGAACCCAACGAGGTATGGATTTTATTTTTGTTGTGGTTGACAGATTTTTAAATATGTCACATTTTATTTCATGCAAGAAAATAGTAGATGCTAGCAACATTACTAACCTTTTCTTCCAGGAGATAGTACGTCTTCATAGGGTGCTGATGGGGGTATAAATGTATACCTCTAAAGTTGCAAGTGTACAACCAATCAAGTTATAGTATAAAAAATTATTGATCCCATGAGGAAGGTGTTTGTAGGAGAATGTTAAAATTGGTTCTTAAGTTGTGTGTGTGACAAGTAGGAGTGATGAATGTCATTGTGAAGAAATAGAAAGAGTGAGAGTGATTGTGTGTATATGTGAATAACAATAAAATAAAATTGAGAGAAGAGAAAGAAATCAAAGAAAATAAGAGGGAAGAAAATAATGAAAAATCAAGAAAAAAAAATTCAAGAAAGTAAGAGATGGAGGATTAAATTAAAGATATGATAAATCTAGAATTAAATCCACTAGCTTATTTCAATTATAAATTATAAACTATTCTCTTTGTATCGCATTTTACTTTAGATTTATTAAGCATAGACTATCAAACTATTTAAGGAAAGTATAACCTATCAAAATATCATCTAAGAAAAATTAATATTTATGAAAAGAACAACAACTAGATAGTAATTCTAGAATTCATAAGCATAACTTATCAAACCACTCAAGATAAGTATAGATTATCAAATTCTTCTTCTATCAATTAGTTCTCTAGTTGATTTATCCTACTCATGATCATTTTAAGTGTAAGAGAACAATTCACATAAATTGTAAAAGAAATAAAGCTAGTTTCATGTAATTTCTAGAGTTTCCACAAGTATTAATTCCAAATCTTAGAAAAAAGGCAATTCTCTAGAGGGTTCTAGCCTCAAGGAGAATCTAAGAAAAAAATAATAATAAATAAAAACTAATCCCAAGAGGGTTCTAGCCTCAAGGTGAATAGTATAAGAAAATAAAATCTAAAGTACAAAATAAATTGCAAGAATCTAAACTACAAAATAAATTGTAAGAATTAAATGCGAGAAAATAAATCTACTCTACAAATTAAAGATGTAAAAATAAAATAAATACAAAAAAATAAATCTACTCTATAATACATTAATGTAAATCTAAGCTACTAAGCAAGAAGGAAAGAAATTACTACAAAGAAATAAAAAAATAAAAGAGAAAATTAACAATACAAGAGGGGTTAGTCTCATAAAAGCAAACATTTAAATTGATCTTCATTTTCATCTTCATCTTCATCATCATCATCCAATAAAGAGAAAAAAATATGAAGAGGTAAAAAAATTCTTTTATTAATAGCAACAAAAAGTTATAAATTTGGAAGGTCTTCTTAATTAAGAGTAACCCTCCTCTCCAATAGAGTTATAAAATTTTTTACACCCTTAACCCCTCACTCTCTACCCCTATTTATAGCCTACAGCAATGAATGAGAGCCATTGGATTGACTTGATCCCCAAGCCAATCAATTTCAGCCCTTAAATCATAACTGCACATGTGGTATCGATACCGGTATCGATACCCCTATCAAAAATCTAACTTCATAGATAGCTTCGTCTCGTTAATATAGGCGATTTTTATATATTATATGTTAAATTGCGCCTTCCAGATTAGGAGATATTGTCATTTCTTTGCAGTCAACCATATTGAATATAATTTCTTTTCATATTGGATTTTTGGTTTTCTTCGTCTTCTATAGGCTTCTTGGCTTGATTATGTGCTTCAATTAAAGGTTATAAAATGAGGAAGTTGGAGTCTTTTGGGCTTCCATTCATTATTTCTTCATTAACCTGTAAATTAAGATAAAAATATTTATTAGTAGTATATTTATTCATATAAAATAGATAACGATGGTATAAAATTGTAATAAAAATATGATTATCAAATACCCCCATACCTAAACTTTTTCTAGTCCTCTAGCAAAGAAAGAAATTAAAAATTCTAACTTACTTTCACAGGAATCGTGATTGTATTGAGCACATACAACAATCCTTTAAACCCCTAGCTTACCCTAGAGGAGGAGTTATAGTCTCGTGAGGGTTTGTAGTGAATATTCCCATAAAATTTGGTCATCTTACCAATTTAAAGAAGTCAGTAAATTACTAATTTTACTTGATAAATTTAGACTTTCAAATTAAAACTAGTTATTACTCAAGAAAACACTTTTATATATAACTCTAAGATAAATCTCCTAGAAAATCTTTTCATTATAGCAATACAAAACCAAGTCAAACTTAGAAATGTAATTTAAAAGTTTTGAAAAGAACATGCTAATTATTTGTTTTAAATAATTTTTAAGTCTATTAATCAAAATAATTTTTTAAGACCATATATACAAATATAATTATATATAAAAACATTGTTAGTATTGTTTTTTTTCACTCGTAATTCCTTGGTGATTTTTTTTTACTTTATCGGGCTTTCTAAGTGACCATTTAACGAGTTTTGAGTCAATGAGTCCCAACCCAATTGGACTTAGGTCATTAAGTATGGAAATACTCTTTGGGCTTAATTACTCGGTCAACTTAGGTTTTATAAGATAGAATCACATTGAATTCAAAAGTTTTTTTATTTTGGTGCCCATTTTCCGCACTTTTCTTTTGCAATGTTAGTTTTTTTTCATATATAAATGTGTAAATCAAGACAACCTAAAAAATTATTTTTAACTCTAAGTTAAGCATGCAAAAATTTTATTATTTTAATTAAAAGTACAAGTTAAGGCTTAAGTAAAGTATACTACTTTGAAAATCACTTCTTAAGAAATTTATTTAGAGTTATCATAAAAGGTGAACTTGAGTATATAACTAACTAGAGATTAGAAAATTTAAAATTTATCAGATAGATCAATTATTAATTTACTCTATTAATTTGGCAATTGACAATATTTTTATGATTTTTTTTTCAAAAGAAAGGAAGAAAATAAAAAAACATCATGGCATAAAAAAACAACAAAAAGGTAAAATAAAGAGGAAAAATAACTACTTCTCACCCCCACACCTAAATTTTACATTTTCCTTAATGCAAACTCTATGATGCACAAAATAAAGCAGATAAGAAATGAAGCACTTACAATTATTCGGTCGACCTAGAACAATGATGATAAAAATCTGCAATTACCTTTAGTATGAGGAGGATGAAAAAAATTTATTCTCTTTTTTCTCATTTTTCATATATTTTTTCTTTCTTTTTCTTTTTTTCTTTTTTATATATTCTTTTTTTTTCTTTTCCTTACAAATAATATGGTTCATGAAGAACCAACACCACCTCCTCTCCGAGCGTAGAATATTCTAAAAATGGTTTTAAACGTTGACCATTAATTTTGAAAATATGACCATTTTTAGGACTTTCTATCTCGACAGCCCCATGTGAGAAAACTT